CACACGTCAACATAAACAAACATTCTACAGTGTGTACTTCTGATACAGTTACACCATACGTAGCATTAAGTCACAACTACAAAACAACAGTTACACCATATGTAAAATAAACTCACAACTACAACAAAACAGTTACACCAAATGTACCATCAAGTCATTTCTACTACAAGAATATGTACCCACTAACCATCATGTGACCACTACCAATTACTGTCTTATTCTCATCGCTTCTTCCGGTCTTTGAGACTTCGATTTCGTCAAGTCCTAGACCTCTAAACCAGCACAGTAAAAGACACCAAGAACATTCTTTTGCCACCACTCCAGTCTTTCTAAACATGTATCGAAGGCAATCTCAAAGCTACGGAGCCATTAAGATGACATAGATGAGGTCGTCGATGTATAGAGCAATGATCCACACATTAAAGAAGCAGAGAGGCCACTAGAAAAAGAGGCTAGTTCATAGCTCTACCAACCGAGAAATAACATATATTATTAAAACAAATACGTTTTAAAAGAGAATATCCCCAGAATCGGCTCGTCCTCTGCTTTACACATCCTTTACCCTTCACAAAATACACAAGCACTGCAACACTGACAGGCACATTGTCTTAATATGCTCTTGCCCCACCGATCATATCTAATTCCTTGGAGTTTTTCGGAGGTTTTTAAACTCCATCGTAACCTTACTGCCCATACATTACACAATGTTAAATGTCCAAGATTATTCCTTTTGAATTAAAAGCTGGTACCCTACACCGTAAATCGCCTCTCTCCACGCCGGTGGGTAACCCAAGGGAACATCATGTGGATGGTACCGCTTGGTGGAGACTCCAGGATATTCCTTCTATTGGATGACTTGCCATCCAATGTTATCGAGTCCCATGCAGCTATCCCTAACTAGCTGGCGCCCGGGGACATCTTTACCCCCTGCCCCCCCCTTGCTACGCCTCTGACGGTGCGTAACAACCTCATATCTGATGTTTTTGCTTGACTTGGCCCTGGTGGGGATTGAACACCTGACCACGAACATGGGATTGACCACTCGGCCACCCAGCAAACAGCAACTTGCCTAGTACACATTAGATAGGCACCTTGAGCTAGCCAAATAGAAGTAAAATTCAAATAATTAATAGAATTCAAATTTTTTCGAGGAACTTAGAATTGTGTTTGAGGGAGAGTGTAGACTTTTTTTATATTCTTGTTACTTCATGTAATAACTTATTTTCCTATCAAAGCACTGATTGTCTTCACGTTAGCCAAAAGTGTGTAAACAATCTACTTGTGTTAGCCAGAAGTGTGCATAAAATCTACTGGTGTTAACCAGTAGTTTGATTCCGCTCCGGGTGACACTAGCTCAAGGGTGACACAAAACTGGAAAATTTGCATAGTTACAGGAACACACTTCTCGGTCCAACCGAATTTCTTTTATTATAACCGATCACATGTTAATTTTCCACACAAGCAACCAATCCAACTGCGTGCTTTATTAAAAGTTCAAGGTTGATGCGTCAGAAATGAGGTTGTTACGCACATTTGTCAGTACTCAGAAATTAATTGTGTGTCTAGTACCAGTACAAGGTCGCATAAAACACAATGTGCAAAAAGGTACACATAATGAAAAGGAGTCTACTGAAAACAAAATCTCACACGTCTGCTGTATCATTCAACCACTCGCGGTAATTATAGTCTATTCCAAAGAAAATTCGAGGTCAGAATACGCAGCGTTAAGAGACGCAAACGTTACAGAGTGTTCTACCGAATTCGAGTCTAGAAACAGGCGTTAGATTGGTGTTGGGTAGAGAAGATCAAAGGGAGTAAGCCACGCCCAACGCTTACGAAGGTGAATCGGGAAAGGTTTAAATGAGAGTAAATTATAGAACGCCTATATATAAAAAGGTGACATTATAAAAACGCCGTTTTGACCATGATTCAACACCGTTTGGAGTGATAGGTACCTTTCGTAAGTGACAGGAAGCTATATATATATATCTGAATGCTGAGAAATAACGCTTTTCATTGAAACGAAATGCGATATGGTCGGGTGATTTTAAGTACAAGAATCGAATCCGGCAAAATAAGGAAAAAAATAAGATAATATTTTACAAAATTATCTTTAATAACGAATTTAAATTTTTATTTATAAATTATTTTTATTACAAAAAGGCGTTTTCAACAAAATATTTATCGAAACCCAGAAATACTCAAAAATTAATATTTTTGCAGATCCGTTCCTAGCACGGACCTTTAACACTTGAGCATGATTTACAGGGTTGCAGCCTTGAAGACCAGGAGAAGGAAAGTTTTCAATAACGTAAATTTAATGTAAACATAAATATAACTTAAGTTATTACAGTTCTTAAATGCATTACCCGCTGACCTTCAATTACTTTGATTTTGTTCTTGTCATTGTTATACTGTGGACTTATTTTAACGAGAAGAAATCCATCGGGGAAGTCTGGTGACGACATGGGTTTACCGTACCGGGTGACACCAACCCTAGCTACGCCACTGTGCATACACTCTATTTTGTGTTAGCACCCTTTTAACTTCCCTTAGACCCCGAACATGAACAGCCTGTTAAGACGCAAGGTTGCGTAAAACATTGCTTCCGTGCATGGTCGATATGCCGAATCAATCGAGTCGCTCATACAATAATCGCATATGACATTAACATAGCTAACGATTCTCTAGGTATGTAAATACTCATTTGTTCGGTCGTAAATATCTTCACTTCCGTGTGAGACGTAAAGGGACTACCATGAGTTATTAGTAACATTTTATTCATACTATTGGACGTGTTTGTGATACAGCATTGGACATGTTTGTGATACTGAATTGGACGTGTGTGTGATACTGAATTGGACGTGTTTGTGATACTGAATTGGACGTGTTTGTGATTCTGAATTGGACGTGTTTGTGATACTGTAGTGGGCGTGTTTGTGATACTGTAGTAGACGTGTTTGTGATACTGAATTGGACGTGTTTGTGATACTGAATGGGACTTGTTTGTGATACAGCATTGGACGTGTTTGTGATACAGTATTATAAATACCAGGTACATAATTTTAATATTGTCAAACAACTGAGTAGAAATATTAATCTACTGTCACAATAACAGAGTAGAAATAAATGAAAATGTCACTCTTTTATAGGTAGTTCACAAATGTTTGAGTCAAAGTGTGTCACAAATGTTTGAGTCAATGTGTGTCACAAATGTTTGAGTCAATGTGTGTCCGAAATGTTTGAGTCAATGTTTCTCACACATGTTTGAGTCAATGTGTGTCACAAAGGTTTAATTCAATGTGTGTCCCAAATGATTGAGTCAATGTGTGTACCAAATGTTTGAGTCAATGTGTGTCCCAAATGTTTGAGTCAATGTGTGTCCCAAATGTTTGAGTTAATGTGTGTCACAAAGGTTTAATTCAATGTGTGTCCCAAATGTTTGAGTCAATGTGTGTCACAAAGGTTTAATTCAATGTGTGTCCCAAATGTTTAATTCAATGTGTGTCCAATATGATTGAGTCAATGTGTGTCCCAAATGTTTGAGTCAATGTGTGTCCCAAATGTTTAAGTCAATGTGTGTTCCTAATGTTTGAGTCAATGTGTGTCACAAATCTTTGAGTCAATGTTTGTCACAAATGTTTGAGTCAATGTGTGTCCCAAATGTTTGAGTCAATGTGTGTCACAAATGTTTGAGTCAATGTGTGTTACAAATGATTGAGTCAATGTTTGTCACAAATGTTTGAGTCAATGTTTGTCAAAAATGTTTGAGTCAATTTGTGTCCCAAATGTTTGAGTCAATGTGTGTCACAAAGGATTGAGTCATTGTGGTCCCAAATGTTTGAGACAATGTGTGTCACAAATGATTGAGTCAATGTGTGTCACAAATGATTGAGTCAATTTGTGTCACAAATGATTGAGTCAATGTGTGTCACAAAGGTTTGAGTCAATGTGCATCAAAAATGTTGATTCAGTGTGTGACAGCTAATTACATCACATTACTAATTGAATAACTTTAGTACCTTGGTATTACCGCTTAACGTCAATAGCCTAGAAATGTTAAATAAACCTTGGTATTATAGTATAACGTCAACAGTCTAGAAAGTTTAAATATATACCTTTTATTACCGCATAACGTCAATAGTCTAGAGAGTTTACTTGTATACCTTGGTATGACCGTATAACTTCATCAGTTCAGTATCGAAAATTATTGTGCCTTATCAGAAACAAATACTGCTTAAAGAGAATTGCAACGTTATTTAAAGAGGAACAAAACTCAACATATTATCATAGAGGTGTTTAAACACAATGAAAGTTAGAAACTAATTTTATGAACAAAATGTTCAACTGTACCAATATGTCCAACTTTACCAATATATTCAAATGAGCCAATATGACCAACTCTACCAATATGTCCTACTGTACAAATACGTCCAACTTTAGCAATATGTCCAACTGTACCAATGTGCCCAACTGTTCAAATATGTCCAGCTGAGCCAATATGACCAACTCTAACAATATGTCCTACTGTATCAATATGTCCAACTTTACCAATATGGCCAACTGAGCCAATAGGACCAACTCTACTATATGTTCAACTATACCAATATGTCCAACTCTACCAATATGTCCAAATGTACCAATTTGTTCAACTGCAACAAAACGTCAAACAGTAAAAATATGTCCAACTGTACAAATACATCCAATTTTACCTATATGTCCAACTGTACTTCCAAATACACATATCAAAAATATATTTAATATATCAGATCCATAACGCTGGAGCCATCAGTCTTGTAATCTAGACACCTTTCTTTATAAGAAATTATTGATTTCGGTTCCATTTCGGCGAAGAAAAGAATCATGATCAATCTGAACTAATCAATAACGTCACAAAGGTAATCAATGACATTGACGGGTCCAAGGACAAGCTTGGTTTTTTAAAATAATTTTCTTGAATGAAAATGGTCATGTCCTAAGAAATAAATTTCATATTTCATAGTAAGAACCCACCTAGGGACCAGACACAACAGAAAAAAACAGTGTCTCAGCTGACTAGGAAGGCGACGAAACATTCAATTGTGCTGTTAACTATTGTTAACATGGACCCAGAAGAGCGGGAGATACGTCTGCAGGTAACGAAAGCTACGGATCATTAAAGACCACCACATGAGTACAGTCTAGATATGTATGTATGTATGTGCCATATAAATTACAGTTTAAATTTGTATGTATGCATCTACCATGTAAAGCAGAGTGTAAATATGTATGTTTGTATCTATCATATAAAATACAGTGTAAATATGTATGTATGTATCTACTATATAAAGTACAGCGTATATATGAATGCATTATATTGCATCCTTCCGTCTTCGTGAGACGATGGAGTAGCTTTGTACACTTCAACAAATGGCTAGACAGGTCAATCCTGGAAACGAATCTCGGCCTCATTTCCCGCAGAAGAATCTTGACTCATTGTTAGATTTGGCCTTCCGTATCGTTGTTTTTGTTGCCTTTGTGACGCCTTAATACACTGCTGTTCGCAAGCTGGAACGTTGTTCGGCAATGAGCTCCCATTCGTTGATTTCAATGTTGGCTTCCCACATGCTCCTTTACTAACGTCCTTAAATATCAGGCGTGGCCGTCCAACAAGTCTTGTCCCTTCCAAATCTACATATACAGCAGCTTCTTTGCAATACGGCCTTCCTCGATTCTACTTACATGGCCTAACCAGCGACGGCACCTTTGCTAAGAGCGGAGAATATGCTTCAAATTTTGCACGATCATGTGGTCCACACTTCACTACAATATTGGAGCGTACTAAGCATACATGCCTGATAAATACTGGGTTTTTATTTATCAGTTAGATAGAGATTACTCCACACTCACTTATTCAGTTTAGTCATAATTTCTGCTGCTTTTCCGATCCTGATGTTAACCTGTTCATCAACGGAGAGAGAACGAGAAATATTGGATCCAAGGTATGTGAAATGCACAAAATCCGACAGATTATGGCAATCAATATATATGATTGGAGGGGATGGTGCTTCTTGCATCATGACATGTGTTTTCTGTTGACTAATTGACAGTACAAACTCTTTACAGGCGTGTGATAGATGATTACCTAGCCCCTGAAGACCCTCTTCTGTTTACGATGTTAAGGCGGCATCGTCAGCGAACAGCAGTTCACGAATTAATACCTTTTTTACCTTGGCCTTTGCACGAAGGCTGGCGATATTGAAAAGTCTACCATTATATCTGGTTTGGATGTACACTCCATCTTCACAGCCCCTAAAGGCAAATTGAAGGAGCATCGAGAAGAAATGGAGAAGAGCGTTTTTGCCAGTACACAGCCTTGTTTTACTCCGCTTCTTACTGGGAATACCTCAGAGAACGCCCCATTGAAGGTCACTGTACATTCCATGTTGCGAAGTGAAGTGGTTGAGTCTTGCCACTATTTACTTTCCTTGCCTTATAAAAAAACTCTGCTCCTCGTAAAGTGGCGTCACCAGTACAGCTACTTTGCGTGGTCGGTGTTTTATCGAGACCAGCCATTGCCCAATGCAGCAGATCCTGTATTTTACACGCACCCAGTTGATCCAAGGGAATGAAAATGTTCAATACAACTTGGCAAATTGACTGCGTCTCCAGAGTTGCCCAAATAGTATTGATATCGGCGTCCGATCGAATTCCGAACTCCATCTCCGGATTTTACAGTTTGGATTTAATGCCTTATATATCTACCATAAAAATTACACTGTAAATATGTATGTTTGTGTCCATCATATAATGTACAGTGTAAATATGTATGTTTGTGTCCATCATATAATGTACAGTGTAAATCTGTATGTTTGTATCCATCACATAATGTACAGTGTAAATCTGTATGTACGTAATTATTGGTTTTAATTGAAGACTGGAAATAAAAAAAGATGGTTTGCCACCAAATGTTACATGGGCAGGTAGCAGTAGTTTATGTTAAGCACATCTTGACAGGTAGCAGTAGTTTATGTTAAGCACATCTTGACAGGTAGCAGTAGTTTATGTTAAGCACATCTTGACAGGTAGCAGTAGTTTATGTTAAGCACATCTTGACTGGTAGCAGTAGTTTATGTTAAGCACATCTTGACTGGTAGCAGTAGTTTATGTTAAGCACATCTTGACAGGTAGCAGTAGTTTATGTTAAGCACATCTTGACAGGTAGCAGTAGTTTATGTTAAGCACATCTTGACAGGTAGCAGTAGTTTATGTTAAGCACATCTTGACAGGTAGCAGTAGTTTATGTTAAGCACATCTTGACAGGTAGCAGTAGTTTATGTTAAGCACATCTTGACAGGTAGCAGTAGTTTATGTTAAGCACATCTTGACAGGTAGCAGTAGTTTATGTTAAGCACATCTTGACAGGTAGCAGTAGTTTATGTTAAGCACATCTTGACAGGTAGCAGTAGTTTATGTTAAGCACATCTTGACAGGTAGCAGTAGTTTATGTTAAGCACATCTTGACAGGTAGCAGTAGTTTATGTTAACCACATCTTGACAGGTAGCTACTCGCCTAAAGATTCCTCCTAAAACATTTGGTCAAAATCCCTTAACACCAAAGCCTGTAATTTAAAAAAAATAAAACATAAAAATAATCGAAATAGTTACTGAAGATATCGCCCAAATAGTGCTACAATCAAATATTTATATAATGACTCCCCTAATAGCTTTATATTCACATATCTGAATAAATATTGTTTCGTCAATCAACAGAGAGCCTTGTAGTCAACTAGTCGTCCGAAAAACCATACACTTAAAATGTCCTATGATATTCCGAAAAATTATTGAACATTTTAAATAAATTTGTAATTCATAATAATAATACTTAAACTTTTTAATAAAATAAAAGGGTATTTATGTTATTTTTTAGTATTTACATTGGTTTGATTTCCGTAAAATGATAGAAAATAACAATGATTGTTTTTAGGAATCCGAACGTATTTAAATCTTTTCGGTTCTTTGGCGTTACGTCAGCAAAGCTCTTCCTTATATATTTAAAGAAAGTCATCTTGATTGTTTCCTAAATATACATTATTCTGGCTTGCTAACTGTCGTAATTTTGTATTCTTTTTGACGATAAAGTATATCAATAATCGCTTCAGCTACTTGCATAAAAGTTGGAGTAAACGATGTCGAGATTTCGTCAGTAGCACCAATATGCTTTATACCTTCCATTATTACCTGGTAAAACTGAACCATATCTTCTAGTATTTAAAGGTCACATCAAAATAACATTATGTGAACAACATACAGTATGTAAATGTTGATTAACTGTTGATTCTTACTATCATGTTAAGGCCCGACAGTTATGTGAGTTGTTTCGTGGTCGATTTAAGCAGGACGAGATGATTATGGTGATTCGAGAATTTGGAGGACAGTGTCCAGCTTTGGACTTCTTATTGAATGGTAAGCCTGAATGTCAATAACTTATATTATCATATGGATGGTTAGAATAGTCTTAAGTTAAATGATCAATAATGAATCGCATTAGAGGCATACAAAATATCATTCTTCTGAACATTCTTTTCTATTTACCGAATTTTATTATTTGATGGACTGCATTCAAATTATTTGTGAATGAAATATGAGAACAAAGGTATGTTAGACGTGAATTAATAGACAGGAAAACAAGATTTGGACGCTTGCCCCTCTTTTCCGGATTCCAGTGGAGCTGGTCGTTGCTAATTAGCTTACGCTACTGTTTTGGATGAATAAATATGATTGTAAGCTAATGAAAATAGGCGTATTATTTCTTTCATGAATTTTTAAAAAAATATATAGAATTAAATTGAAATTTGTAAACAACTAATAATTCTTGATGTAATGAATTAATCAGATAAGTTGGCTTACTGCAAGTTAGAGCAGTTCTGGTGCCCAGCCTGGTCGGTTTTACAAACGGGCCAATTTGTACAAGTGGCTCCCGGACACGTGGGGAGTTTCACGAGCCAGGCTAATCCGCGTCCATTGCTTATCAATGGGGGGGGGGGGTCCTTGATCCTGGTTTTAAATTAAGGGTTACGAATACGTTCGGACCGGGGTCCTGGACGCTGCTCTTCGTGAGCGGCCGTGCAAGAGCGTCCTGCTCAGTCACGCTTCAGCAGATATTAATGTCGGTGCAAGTTAGAGTAGGTCTGGTGCTAGATAGAGTAAGCTTTATATAAGCTAGAGTAGGCATTGTGCAAGCTAAAGTAGGCCTGATGCAAGCTAGAGTTTGCATGGTGCAAGCTATAGTCGGTCTGGTGCAAGTGAGAGTAGGCTTGGTTATAAGCTATGATGCAAAGCTTTATTTATGAAGTCAATTTCAAAATCAACTTATGGTATACTTTAGTTTCTTAATATATTTTTGTTACTAAATTATATTGTCTCTACTTATAATGTTCCAGGGGACCCTAAAGACGTGAGTTGTTTTATGAAAAAGGTCAGCTCAGTTTTATTTCCATTTTAAATTATGATTGCAATTAAAAATCTAATGAATTTATACAATAATTAAATTTTAAATCAATCTTTATGTCCTATACGTAAAGATAAAGGTACTTAGAAACTTTCATTTTGTGTGAGTTTTTTCCATTAGAAACACAGCTTTGAAAATTCAAATTGCATCTCTGAACTATTTAATTGAAGAAAATAACGCAAACTGTAAGACTGAGTCCATGAAATCCACTGTATATTGTACATTTAAATGTATACTTTTTAAACGTTTTCTTTCTTTGTACCGATAAAGGCATTTGCCAAAACGTTTACATTTGTATTTTGTAAAATCATCTTTACAGCTGAACACGTATTGTTTTTTTGACACGAATTGTTTGTCTAATTATTCTACTTTAAAGAATTATCGCAGCCCAGCACTCTTATATTGTACAGATATTCTTAAAAGCAAAATTTCAATGTGAGAAAAGTGGAGTAGAGAGTGTGGAGATTTTTGGAGCCTACTTTGCACTTTAAATTATAGCCAATAAATCGCTTCATAAAATCATCCACTGCAGCTCAATTGTCGATATCAACCTCTGTATTTCATGATATGTAAATATGATTGTAATTATTACGTTAGTTGGTCACGTCTTTACTGTATCCAAATAAAACTTACGATTTCGAATTTGAACAAGACAATGTTTATATGCTCAAAAACATATTTTACTAAGAGATGATAAGGTTGATATCACTATAAAAAATTTCACTAAGAGATGGAAATGTTGATACATAAAAAATGTTATTTCACAGAGTACAAGCTACGTGTCTAGGTTGCAAGAGGAGTCCAGGAAGCTGTGCAGGTACCTCGAAGAAGCGATAACCATTGAGTCAAGCGAGCGTCAATTTGCCTGTAAAACCTGTACCAGATGTTGGTGGAAACGTGTCCCGATCAGAAAAGAGGTCTTATATGGAAATGTTATTCTTTCTCATTATTTTACTAGAAAATTTTAGTGCGTCAAGCATTATTTACTTTTTTAAAAGTAGTCCAGAATTAGTTTAACAAATAGGACAACTATAGAAAAAAAAACTAAATAATGATGCATTTTAAAGAAATGTTCTTACTGAGTGTCGAGAGATGACATGATTCTTGCAGGTCAATAAGTGTGTGAAGTGTAAAGTTAAGTACAACCCTGTACCAAGAGATAAAGAGTGGGGATATGGCCAGTTTTATTGTTTGGGAGACAATTGTGGCAGGGAATACAAGTAAGTCTTGAACTATAAAACACTTTAAAATTATTCCATAGCTGCTTTTCGCTTAACATCATTGAACATTTTTAAGACATTTGGGGTGGACTAAATTGATAATTAATAGAGTTTCCCATTTGGTAAATTTTGCTAGGGCCAGTGTAAAGTGGAGAAGGTGGGGAAAGGTTGTGTTTCAGGGAAACGAGGTAGGAAAAAAAGGTATGGGGTGGAGGGAAAAGGGCTAAGATTATGCACGAGGGAGTAATGGTGGGGTATGGAAGAGCGTTGAAGTTTGATGAAAGGGTGTCAAACTGGTGGAATAATAAATCAAGTGAAAAAAGACATGGGGTGACGGGTAGACTAGCAGACACAGAATTCTTCTCAAAATATCCTTTTTTTTCAATAGAACTCCTGTGCAAAGGTGCTTGCCTTTGTGTGGTGCTACTGGACTAGTAAGGGTAGTGGTGGATGGGACTCGTTAGCCTTAGACGGCCACTCATCTAAGAGTAGGCAAACTCTGAATTTAAACAAGGAGCCAAATAATTAATAGATTTATCGTGGGCCCTCAAATATGAAAAAAAGGCTTAATGAAGTTGGCCACAGCTTAAAGCGAAAGAAGCTGGCGCGTCCTGTCGAAGATCGAAAGACTCTATAAACGAGGGACTCAGGCAACGCCAAACTTGCGCCCTAATTGGTGGAAGCGGAATACTCAGACTCTGTGGCACAATGGCAAGTACGATTAGACTTACTGACGTGGAGCTGGCATCTCAGCCTCCGCCCCTTTTCATTTGTGTCTGGGAACCGTCTAACGGAGAAAACGGTCACTGTTCCCGTTTTGGGAAGTTGATCCACTCGTACGCCGACGTGGGGAGACAGGTTGATCGACTCGTACGCCGACGTGGGGAGACAGGTTGATCCACTCGTACGCCGACGTGGGAAGACAGGTTGATCCACTCGTACGCCGACGTGGGGAGACAGGTTGATCCACTCGTACGCCGACGTGGGGAGACAGGTTGATCCACTCGTACGCCGACGTGGGGAGGCAGGTTGATCCACTCGTACGCCGTCGTGGGGAGCCACGTTGATCCACTCGTACGCCGACGTGGGGAGACAGGTTGATCCACTCGTACGCCGACGTGGGGAGACAGGTTGATCCACTCGTACGCCGACGTGGGAAGACAGGTTGATCCACTCGTACGCCGACGTGGGGAGACAGGTTGATCCACTCGTACGCCGACGTGGGGAGACAGGTTGATCCACTCGTACGCCGACGTGGGGAGACAGGTTGATCCACTCGTACGCCGACGTGGGGAGACAGGTTGATCCACTCGTACGCCGACGTGGGGAGACAGGTTGATCCGAGACGCAGAAGCTACTGGACCAAGTACGTGGCGCCAAGAGTCACCCCTCTCCTCAAATCTAACAGTTGTACATTTGAATGTCTGTGATATCAGGCAGGAGAGAGGGATATTTAGCAAGCTACTCCACGAGTTACATATGGACGTGACACTTTTCCAGGAAACTCTGTTTAACGGGAATCTGTTTCAAATAAAAGGCTGCTTTCTTTCACACTGCATATGGGGGCAGTGTAGCGCCCTGACCACAGCAGTCAAAATGAAAGCCGTGGAACAGACAGTAAACGCGAGGATGAATTGGGTATTGGACAGAACTAAAAACATTCTTACAAACCAAACAGCCAGTGTACCAAATACTATATGCTATCCAAACCATCACCAATTAACCATAGATGAAATATCATACTTGGACCGTATTTTTCGAGCTGCAACAAGCATACGACAATGTCTAGAGCAGTAGTGTACAACCAACGGTCAGAGTGCTGATTTTAAATAGCCCGTCACAGCTTGAGAAATGTTTAAGATGTGTGTATAAATTAAAACATTATAGGGTAAACATATTTTCAAAGCACATTCATTGATTTAATATTGTTGGAAAATCAATTGAGAGCATATGAGAAGTTGAATTAGTAACATGGAAGATGGGGAGGTCACGAAAGCTAAAGATTCGAATGGTTTGACAGGTAGCAGTAGTTTATGTTAAGCGCATCAGCATAACAATCTTTTGGGAAGCGGAGTGATGTATAAAGGGATACAATTTTCTTCGCTCTGTTGCTAGTACATGGGAGGCGTAGCGGGATGGCGGATATGGTTACTGGCGGGAAAATGAATAAGGGAACCAAAAGTAACTTGATGTGTAGCTATCTGGTCAATGTGAAAATGTGCGTGCCATTATGAACGGGACAAAGTTAGATGAAAGAGATAGGTGAGCATAGCGAGTTAACTGCCAGGAAAGTCTTCGGGTCAAAGTTATCGAGATTATAGCTGCACTACTAAAGGTGTCACAAAAGAATGACTACGTTGGGCAGTGTGAACCCATTATGATACGTTGTTATTTAAACATGGAGTCTAGCCAGGTATGGAAGAATGTGTCTCCGCCCTATAAAATTGTACCTGGTATTCAGGTATCTGAGGATGAGACGTTCAAGGAGTAGAAATCTAAGCTTTGATTGTTTGTAGTGAGTGCAATTGAGACAGGAGGTAATTGTGTAGGACAGTAGGAAGTTTCTTGAAAGTATTTAAGAAAAAAAATAAGCAAATAAAACAATGCGTGGCCAAATCAATTCTGGATGACGTCATGTTTCTTCTGATGAATTTATACAGCTATGGAAATATTCTAACAAAATTTTAATAGTTAAAAAGGTTTGAAAGCATTAGTATAGAGTGTATAGGGTAGGTTTGGTGAAAAAAATTCAGCAGCTAGATGTCGCTGCCAACATTCAAAGGTGACTACTACATGTATTTTTATCAGAATGCACGATATCCACGAGAGTCCGGGACACGGTTTCAGATATGTGTATCCTCGAGGATGGACTCCCACAGGGATACGCCTTTAGCTGCCACTTATCCTGATGTACGCACACGACCTATATCCTGATGTACGTACACGACCTATATCCTGATGTACGTACACGACCTATATCCTGATGTACGTACACGACCTATATCCTGATGTACGTACACGACCTATATCCTGATGTACGTACACGACCTATATCCTGGCAGATGGAAACTGTACCACAAGACCTCAAGGATGCCTCAATCATCCACCTGTACAAACACAAAGGTAACCGCCAGACATGCGACAATCACCGCGGAATTTCACTACTGTCCATTGCAGGCAACATCTTGGCCCGAGCCCTTCTGAACCGCCTGAATGCACATCTGGAGCTAGGTCTCCTACCCGAAAGTCAATGCGGTTTCCGCAAAAAACGCGGAACCATCGATATGGTGTTTGCTGCTAGACAGCTTCAAGAGAAATGCCAGGAACAAAATACAGACCTATATACTACATTTATCGACTTGAATAAGGCCTTTGACAGGGTCAATAGAGCTGGCTTGTGGAAAATCATGAAGAAATACGGATGCCCAGACAAGTTCACAAACATCATCCGTCAGCTGCATGATGGTATGATGGCCCGAGTACAGGACAACGGTCAATCATCTCCAGCATTCCCCGTCACAAACGGTGTAAAACAGGGTTGTGTTCTTGCTCCCACACTCTTCAGTATTATGTATTCCGCAATGCTGTCTGATGCGTTCAAGGACTCCACCATGGGCTTGCCAATCCGGTTTCGTACTGATGGATCAGTATTTAACCTTAGGAGGCTTCAAGCTAAAACCAAGGTCAAACATACCACGATCAACGAGCTTCTGTTTGCAGACGATTGTGCCCTTAATGCCGTCATGCAACACAGTGTTGATATCTTCTCAGAGGCCTGCAATAACTTTGGCCTAACAATCAACACAAAGAAGACTGAGGTGATTTATCCGCCAGCTCCCAGTAAGCCCTACGTTGAACCCAACATCATCATCAATGGACAGCGTCTCAACCCGGTGGATAAATTTACTTACTTGGGCAGCACCCTCTCTAGATCTGTCGTCATGGATGATGAAATGAATGGCAAACTCGCAAAAGCTAGTGCCCTATTTGGCAGGCTCCGCAGCCCTGTTTGGGACAGGAGAGGTATCAGTCGTGAAACAAAGCTCAAGGTCTATAGCGCATCAGTCCTCCCGACACTGCTTTATGGATGTGAAACGTTGACTGTCTACCAGCGTCACGCCAAGAAACTGAATCATTTTCACATCACCTGCCTCAGGAAACTCCTCGACATCAGGTGGCAAGACAAAGTCCCCGACACCGAGGTCCTCGCTAGAGCGAACCTACCTAGTATCTTCACCACTCTGATGCAGTCTCAGCTCCGTTGGACACGTAGCCCGTATGGCAGACCACCGGCTCCCGAAACAAATATTCTTTGGAGAACCCACGATAGGCAAGCGCTCCCAAGGAGGCCAAAGAAATCGTTACAAAGATTCACTGAAAGTGGCACTAAAGGCCTTCAGCATAAACACTACTCAATGGGTGCAGACAGCCCAGGACAGAGCCAGATGGAGAGCTGCTGTCAAGAAGGGGGCTAAATTCCATGAAGCTAAGAGAATAACCACAGCTGAGACACGCAGGCTTGTCCGAAAGAGCAACATTAGGTCATCGTCTGAAGCAACTATTCCATGCCCACGGGGTCATAGATTATTCCGAGCAAGGATCGGTCTAACAAGCCACCTAAGAGCTCACCGTAATCCCAACCCCCCGCCCGCCCCTAACCGGATGATTCGATGGTCCTTGTCGACTTCGACGGACGAACAACAATATCCTGATGTACGTACACGACCTATATCCTGATGTACGTACACGACCTATATCCTGATGTACGTACACGACCTATATCCTGATGTACGTACACGACCTATATCCTGATGTACGTACACGACCTATATCCTGATGTACGTACATGACCTATATCCTGATGTACGTACACGACCTATATCCTGATGTACGTCAAAGACCTACAGTAAACATTTGTTAAGTCTGGTAAACTGGTAATTCTGGTGCTCTTGCAAACACATTCAGCAACTGCAGAGCCGGCTGCAGGACGACCTCAAGCGAACAGAAACCTTTGCTGACAAGTTGAAAATGGTGGTAAATGAAGAGAAGACTGTAAAGTCTTTGTGTAATAGTGGGGGCAGTGCCCATGAAGAAGAAATAACTCTTTATGTCTCCGGGAAAAAGCCCAGGTGTGACCAGACACCTAAATGTATGTGAAGTTTGAAATGAAACCACACAGCGTTAGGAGGGTCAAAGCAATCCTAGCGACGGTGAAAAGATACTGGCGCATGGAGGCAACGGAAAGATACCGGCGCATGGAGGCAACGGAAAGATACCGGCGCATGGAGGCAACGGAAAGATACCGGCGCATGGAGGCAACGGAAAGATACTGGCGCATGGAGGCAACGGAAAGATACTGGCGCATGGAGGCAACGGAAAGATACTGGCGCATGGAGGCAACGGAAAGATACCGGCGCATGGAGGCAACTCCCACTTTCAGCTACAAGACAGGTGGGTAAAGAAGACAAGGTTAAAAAGATCCTCCTTTATGAATGCGGTTCACTTACAACAGAGAAAGCACGTGGCACTGCCCCAAAATGAAACAGCTGACTTTCTAGTGAGGCACTATACTACCCTGCCATTAGAAAAACCGAGATCTGGTTCAAGAAGAACGGTTACAAAACTGGGGGAAAGTGGACATAGCCCGTAAACTTTACCGGAACATGTCGTACCCAAACAGGAAAGTGGTTTAATGGTGCAAATTAAAACGTGAACACCAGAGCCTCATCACCCAGACGAGAACAGAACACAGTCCTACTCGAAGCTACTTGGACAGATTACATCCTCTTCTGGACCTGAGCTGCCGTCATTGCGTCGTAACGATTCTTCAACAATTTGATTTTAACATCGCTTTTATTTTAAATTTTATATTCAATTTATTTGAATATGGTCTTTATTTCAATTATTTTATACTTTTAAAAAGAAAACAGATTTATAACGTGAAAATAATAATATATTTCATATTTCATTTCTTGCAAAAAAAGTACTGTTAAATTAAAACCATCATAGAAAGAAAAAAAACCCGCCTTTACTCTCCCCAGAGGGTATGCTGTGATGGGGATGACAGAGAGCATGTGCAAAAGATGTGGCTTTTATTCACCCGTTGATCATATCATACCACCACGGAGGGAAACGAAGGAGACCAGCAGACGATCTAAGGGTGAACACAGCTGTAACGGAATCAACTGCTACAACCGGTAGGGCAATGAGAATTTAAGAAATATATAATTTTTTTGTTACAAAATGTTAAGGGAAGTCCGTGACAAATACAATCTCAGCTCATATCACTGTGCAATATTGATTATACGGCAAATATAATATCATCTCAAAAAACTATGCAATATTGATTATTTGACGAACCTCATCTCAACTCATTACACTATGCAATATTGATTATATGACAAATACCATATGACCTCATAACACTATGCAATATTTATAATATGTTAAAAAATTTAGACAATTTAGCTATTTTTAAAAGACAATATATATGCTTTGTGTTTGTATATAATTCAAAAATTTCTCCATGGTTCAATGAGTAACTGTTGGATTTTCTTGTATTTTTTAAATCATATTCACCTGCTTCTGAGCTGGTTCATGGAATACCGCTGAGCAGAAATTAAGCGTGTAAAGATATGTAACAAGGAGAGTCTTAAACTATCCGTACACTAATAAGGTGGATTTTCCTATGAGAGCTGAAAGACTATGGTTGGAATCAAAATAACTGCATAACCTATTCATTTCAGTACGATTGGGTTCAAAGTGTTTAATTCATGGTTCAAAGTGTGTAATTCATGGTTCAAAGTGTGTAATTCATGGTTCAAAGTGTGTAATTCATGGTTCAAAGTGTGTAATTCATGGTTCAAAGTGTTTAATTCATGGTTCAAAGTGTGTAATTCATGGTTCAAAGAGTGTAATTCATGGTTCAAAGTGTGTAATTCATTGTTCAAAGTGTGTAATTCATGGTTCAAAGTAATGCAGGGTTGATAGTTGTATTGGTTTCCTCCCCTAGCCACGAAAAAATGCGGGGGGGGGGTAGGGGTGTGGCTTTTAACGGCATAGTTTTATATGGAATATTCCTACAGTTACAATCTGTTAATTTGTTTACTGCTATAATTTATGTGTTTTAAAATATTTACCATAATGCTACCAAATTGTCCATGCGTGAATGTGTGTGTGTGTGTGTGTGTGTGCGTGTGCGTGTGTGTGTGCGTGTATGTGCGTGTGTGTGCGTGTGTGTGTGAGTGTGTGTGCGTGTGCGTGTGAATGGGGTGGGCACAAATTAAACTTGCTGTTTTTCAGAAATAAGATAATCTATTGAGTGCATGTCTGATGTATTTCTTTCCAATAGAATGTAATAACTCTTTACTGACATTGTTTTGCTTTTTATTCCACAAAAACATAACAAAATCAAAACAGACGCGGTAACCCAAATGAGGTGAGCCAGAATTGTATAATGGGTTCATAAACTATGAACAAAATGTGAATTAGTAGAGCAAAAGAAGTTTTTTATTTTCAGTTCATTTTAAGATATCGGTTAACTTGAACAGTTTAGATAGTTATTTCTAATTATTGTGAATAAGTTGAGATAAAATTAATAACAATTGCATTGGTGGCTGCATACAACGTGTGTGGACCAAACCTAACAGACAACTTAGAAGTCTATAGGAAAAACAATAACAACTTATATTAAATTAATTGGTCTTTAGAATCGTGAAAATAAAAGACATTAAGTTACAAATCTTGTATAGAAAAATATTAATGAAAAGTTTTTTTACAGCTAACATAATTAAAATTTATCTTTGAATGTTCGTAATGCTTTTAAAGGTTTAGTTTATCTTTCATAATAATGGCCTGTCAAACAATTTAATCTATTCGACTGACATTCTTTCATACTGTGACGTTACAAATTAAACCATCAATTATTTAAGGTGAACATTAATTTTTTCAGGGAATTTACAATAATTTGAGAAATGGTAAGTTGAGTGCAAATATTACTTATTTGAAAATATAATCTTTTTTTTCAGTGTGCATTTTTTCTTTTTTTTTTTTAAATGTGGTTAACAAATAGTTTATAGCATAAAGTGTAATATAATCTACTGTCATTTGCATTGAGCAAAATTTCGCAGCTCGAGTTTTAAATTTGTATGACATGATGCAACACGAATAACAACAACATCAATTAATGACACATATCAATGAATGACAGTACACAAGTAAAATTGATCGACTAACAAATAATCATAAATAGAATTGAGCATGCAAGCTTTATAAAGCATAAATTTTAATTAAGAACACCGTGGATATATTCCGATTAACACAAAATAGAGAGCAATTGTCAGTTCAAAATAAAGACGTATGTTTATGGTTTAAATTAATCATAACATATCGGATATTGCCAAATTTTTAGAGCAGTGTTTCTCAACCTGTGGGTCGTGGCCCCTTTGAAGGTCAAACGACCCTTACCCAGGGGTCGCCAAAGACAGTTATGAAGTTGCAACGAAATAATTTAGTGGTCTGGGGATCGTCACAACATGAGGAACTGTATTAAATGGTCGCAGCATAAGTAGGGTTGAGAACCAGTGTTTTAGAGGAACTTCACATAGAACGTATGGCCCCTATGATTGACTGTTTACAATCAGATATACAGGGAGCGAGTATCAGTAGTCGATTCACTCATACAAAGAAGTCAATCCATTCATAAAAAGAAGTCCGTCAACTCATAACAAGATGTCAATCCATTCATTACAAGAAGTCGATCCATTCATGACAAGAAGTCAATCCATTCATTACAAGAAGTCAATCCACTCATGACAAGAAGTCGATCGACTCATGAAAAGAAGTCGATCCACTTATAACAAGAAGTCAATCCACTAATGCCAAGAAGTCAATCCACTAATGCCAAGAAGTCAATCCACTCGTGACTCTAACTAAAAGGACAAAAATCATTGTTTGTTATGCAGTATAGATGTTATGTATGTATTTATGTTATGGAATACATTAGCTGTTCAATGAAAGTACATTTATTAAAAATCTTATAATTTTCGATGGGAACTTGTCCGGTACGTTGGCCCACCATCATGTGCTCTCATTCTCTGCACACTAAAGAAAATATTCTCCAAAAACATCCATCAAAAATGCATGTGTTTCTAAAAGGTATTTATTTTGTTTCGTTCAGTTCAAACAAAAGAATTTCCGATTATAAATTCGATGTGATTTTTGTCTGAAGCCTTGTCAAAACTTTCAAATTATTATGTGATCAAATTGTCATTTTTGTCCCCAAAAAAGCAAACAAAATAGAATCGTTCATACAAAAAATTTGACGCAAATTTGATCTTGTGAACTGAGTGGTGTCGTACAACTATGCATTGTTTGATGTATGGAGCGCCATATAGAATAATTATTACTAGATAGAGCCCGCCAAACATTGGCAGCGTGAACTTCCCATGTAGTAAAGTCACTTGACAAAACATGAACTCAAGTAACGCACATTTAAGAATCCCAATATTTGCTACACCCCTTCCCCCCATGATACGTCACTGCACACTTTTTATTTAACGCCCATGAACTCTATTAATATATTCATGTCCCAACCACTTTTAAACCCAATATTTTTTACATAAAACTTAATTTGAGACGATTTCATTTCCGAAAAGAAAATATTACGTACCAAACGCTAGTAACTTTACTAAATGGGAAGTTCACGCATTGCTGTCGCCAATGTTTGGCGGGCTATATCTAGTTATATATATAGATTGAAGATAATCAGCTTTTCCCGTATTCTGCACACGTAAAGTTGTTGCATTCCCCCAGCGCATAAAATTATGTGTTTTTATGGAAATCTATCTAAAAAATAGTTATTCATTCTATTCAGGTAGACAAGCTGTCTGCATTCACCCCAAGTCCTTGATGATGTTTCCCGACAGTTCCAAATATGTAACCTGGAGTGAGAATCATAGGAGTACAGGATCAACTATTTCAACCTTCCTGGATCAATGCAGCTTGGACACGAAATCTGGAGTCTTCGTTTATCATCCACAGTAGCTCATTCGAAGTAGTTCAACCACAGTAGTTCATTCGAGTAGTTCATTTGCAGTAGTTCATTCTCAGTACTTCATCCACAGAAGTTCATCCACAGTAGTTCATTCCTAGTAGTTCATTAGCTGTACTTTATCCTTACAAGTTTATTCGCAGTAGTTCATCAACAGTAGTTCATCCACATTAGTTCATTTGCAGAAGTTCATCCACAGAAGTTCATCCACAGTAGTTCCTTCTCAAACTGGGGCTGTTTTATAGATACAACAGGGCTTTGTTTTACATCATTTCAAAATTTTGTTTGTTGAAATGTTACTTTCTTTCCCTTTTTTTGGTTCCAAAATCCACACTTCATGCATGAGTGCATTGAGAACATTGAGTATAGTCGCTTAGTCTATAAGAAAATGTTATCAGAATTTATTAATATTGTTTGATGGCTATGTGATTCATGCATGATGGCCTTATCCTGTCTGTAGGATGGCTTTATGGAGTATGTAATGATGCCTTTATGAGGTAAGGATGATGGCTTTATGGTGTCTGAATTATGGCTTTATAATGTCTGTATGATGACTTGACGACTTCATTGGGTTTAATACATCTTTATAATATGTTTTTAATTGTGTTTTGTGGTTTCAAATTTGGAATATTAAACATTGAAAATTGTTACACGCAACAAAAAACACTATCTCTATAATTGATATTTATAAATGTTTGTGATGAGTCCTTCTCTTTTCATTACTTAGTAACAAAACAATGGCAGCTCATCAAGGCGAAGATCAACTGTGAAATCAAACCCGGCGATTAAGTCCCGTAGGCGGTATGCCATTGACACAATGAAAATTCCTATAACTGCTAAGAAGTAGAATGCATAATGAGACACAGTGAGAAACAGTGAGACACAGTGAGACACAGTGAGACACAGTGAGACACAGTTTGACACAGTGAGACACAGTGAGGCACAGTGATATGCAGTGAGACACAGTCAGACTCAGTGAGACACAGTGAGGTACAGTGAGACACAGTGAGACACATTGAGACACAGTGAGACACAGTGAGACACAGTGAGACACAATGAGACACAATGAGACACAGTGAGACACAGTGAGACACAGTGAATGAGTGACATGCAGTGAGACACAGTGAAATGCAGTGAGACACAGTGAGACACAGTGAGGAACAGTGATGCACAGTGAGACACAGTGAGGCACATGAGACACAGTGAGGCACAGTGAGACACAGTGAGACACAGTGAGACACAGTGAGGCACATGAGACACAGTGAGCTACAGTGAGGCACATGAGACACAGTGAGGCACAAGAGACACAGTGAGACACAGTGAGACACGCAGCTGGTCATCTACCGCATCCTTGTATTGTTTCACTTGGTTTGAATACGTCTCAGCATTGGATCAAACAGGCAATGACGAGAGAGAAGTACTGTCGAACTGAGCAACTCACCCACACTATAAACAAAATACAGCTCAAGTCAAGGCTACTGATCAAGTCTTGGTCATCGTCGCGTGCGAAGGACAAACGGCAATTGAGACCCACCTGCCTGACAAAGTATTATACTTTGGGTGTACGGTTCAGATTTGTAACTACTTCAGAACTGTTCGTATAGGCGAGTGTGCATAACCAAAGAATTTGAACTCTATAGTTTTTATAAAACAAAGGCTTATATCAAGTATAATAATAATAATAATAATAATAATAATAATAATAATAACGTTTATTTCAAAATCACACTTCATCCCCAAAGGCTCGAAGTGCGATACAAAGTCAACCACATTAAACGAGAATTGAAAAAAACAATAGTATACCACATTGAAATACAAAACGCAACATTACAAAAACTACATACGAGAATACCCATTCTAAGTTTTCATCCCTTGCAACCATTAACAACTCAAGCCAATATACATCTAGGAGATAAAAGCTAGCTAGAAAAGATGGTAGACAACATCACCCCAGCAGGTGTTTGCGACATAGAAGTGTTTTCAATTCGGTTTTGAAAGACTCTAGTGTCTGGCTGTTTCTGAGAGCGAAAGGAAATGTGTTTCAAATTTTTGGGCCCGCACATGCGAAAGTGCGCCTTCCGTAAGTCTCAAAGCGAATACATGGTATCGAGAGTTTGCCACTATCGGATGAGTGGAGTTGTACACAATAAGGAAATGTACACCATTATCTACCCCTGCAATTATCTTCCTTGTCTAAATTTTATAATGTGTGAAATATCGATAAAATGAAATAATTATTTTAGTTTCAGTTGTTACCTCGTAGTCTAGTTGGGGACCACTGTAACCCTGACCTGACCTTGCTAGCAGTCCACAGTAACAGACCACCACCCAAAGGATAGTATTTTTTGCTCACAGTGTGGGGAGATGACAATAGACAATTTCATGAAGCTACCTGTTTAGTACGTGGGACACTGACGCTACATCAATCTGTATATCTCCCGGATATAGTCTCCTAGTAAGAGAAGTGACCATGAGAGGCTACATGAGTATAGAGGCGTGAGGAATCTTCCTTGTACCATTACCTCTATGTCTTGGATCTTGTCCTGCCATTTGATGTTGAGGATATTTCGAAAGCTCATCGTGTGAAAGTGGTTTAGTTTCCTTGCATGCCGTGGATAGAATGTCATTGTTTCACATGCATTTGGTAGTGTTCAGAACACAGCTTCATTGTAAACCTTGATTTTAAGGCACTGATTGACTTCATATTAGCAGAGTAGTGTGCATTCAATCTGCATGTGTTAGCCAAAAGTGTGTGTGCAATCGGCTTGGGGTAGCAACCTTTTAAATTACCCTAGACCAAGAGCCTTTTCATATTCCTTGAACACTCAAGGTTACGTAACACATTGCTACAATGTTTGATCGATTTGAGGAATCAATGACGTCGCTCAAACAGTAATCGCATATGACATGTACATAGCCATTAATCGCTGGGGACGAATATATGCATTCTTTTTGGTTTAAATATTTTCACTTACTTGTCATGCATCTAGGAAGTACTTCTGGTCGTTATTCACATTGTGTTCATCCCTTGGAGGTTTTTGTGATACTGTATTGGAGATGTTTGTGATACTGTATTGGACGTGTTTGTTATACTGTATTGGATGTGTTTGTGATACTGAATTGGACGTGTTTGTGATACTGTATTGGACGTGTTTGTAATACTGTATTGGATGTGTTTGTGATACTGAATAGGACGTGTTTGTGATACTGAATTTAACGTGTTTGTGATATGATATTTTAAGAACCAGATCATAAATAAATCCAAGTGAAAGAGCTCTATGCCAGCTGACTAAAACAAAAGACAAATAAGTTTTGTTGTAGATAGTTTAATGTGGACCACCAGCAATATGAGATATAGGTGCAGGTACAATTACATAATTATAATTATTGTCAAAACAACTGAGTAGAAATGTGTAGAAATGAATCAAGTTGTCTAGCTATTTTAGGTGGTTCATGCAATGACAATCATGAACTCTGCGTCAGCTAATTACTTCGATTGATTATTGAATATCTTTAGCAATGATTAAAAACTTCTCTGAGATGAGAAAGTTAAAATTTGTCTTCGTATTACACTTTAAGGTCAATAATCCGGGCGTCAAAAATATAGAGCTTCGAAAATTATATCGCGTAATTAAAAAAAATAGTTATGTGAAACGAGAATTGCAATGTGATTTAAAGTGAATACGGTCAAATCTCTAAACATAAACTTAAAAAACAACAACTCAGAACAAAGATGTTCGTACGAATCCCTTATAGCCATTTTATAAATATTTATTCTATTAAAATTCTAATAAAGGCGGCTTTTTCAATTTCATTACGGAGCAATGAAGGCGTCCTTTGAACATCATAAGGTTCTGCACGCCCTTTTCTTGACGAATGTAACCACTCTAACAATATTTCCACCGGTACACATACGTCCAACTCTACCCATATGTCCAACTGTACCAATACGTCAAACTGTACCCTTGTGTCCAATTGAAATTCTCAAATGGCGAGATCAAATATAATAAAGAACGCTTGAGTCAAATGTCAAAATATAATTATGTTTGTGTTGTTTTCAGTCCTCAATTTTGCAAAGTTGAGAACCACCCTCTACAAGAAATTATAGATTTCTGCTCCATTTCATTGATGTAAGAGTTAAATAAAAATCAATAATGCCACAAAGGTAATCAATGCGATTGACGGGTCCAAGGACAAGCTTGGTATTTATAGTTTTCATGAATAAAAAAGTGTCATGTGTTATCATATAAGAAATACGTTTCATTGTTCACAGTAAGAACTCAACAAGGGAGCAGAAAAACGGTGTCTCGGCTGACTAGGAAGGAGACGGAACTTACATTTGTGCTGTTAACTATTGTTAACATGGACCCAGAAGAGCGGGAGATACGCCTGCAGGTAACTAAGGCTACATACTGTTAACATCTACCATGGAAAGGACAGTGTTACTATGTATGTATGAATTTACTTTTGTTAATTTAACTCACGAAAACCAAAAAACTGGTTTAACGTCATGTTTGACATTGTTATTTCTCCTGGCCTAAAGATGTCGCCTTGAGCGTATGATCAATATCACTTAACATCATACCCTGTAATTTAACAAATAATAATCCAATATAGAGATGTAACGCTAAAATGAGATCATTTTCAAATGGCTTGGAAAAACGCTCTGTTAATGCCCGGGCCACGACCGTTCAAGATTAGTTTTTGGATGTATTCATTTATAATGAGGCTTTATTCAGAACGGTGCTCTTTCAATGTTTGTTTTTATTTAATGGTAGCACGGTAGCACTATATTGTTTAATGATAAGTGTTAGGTACCGTTATAATATTTTTAAAAAAAATTGATTGTCGTTTTAAAATAGCTGGTTAACAAATCAGTACCTAGCAAAGGCACACCGCCATTGATTAAATTCTTTGTAATATTTATATTAAGATCGATAGCCTAACTAGTGCTAGTTACATTTAACAATTTATATTTACTAACAGTTCTGATATGAAGCGCAAACTCAAATATATAAAAAAATGCCAAAACTCTATTAACTTATAGCATGCCAATGCCTACACTAATAGAAAGGTGAAATCCACAAACAGACAGTGAAAAGTATTTCTTGGATATCGTAGGTCTCATTTCTTATTGTACTACCGATCACAGTCGACCTTCTTATTCATTGTCTACAGAGGGGGAGGGGAGTTTTCAGAATCGAAACTCTAGCTAGAAGGTGAAGCGAGTATTCTCTATCTCTCTATGTAATACAAAGAGAAGAAGAAACTGGTGTTGACTGTAACAAAAAACCAAAGGGGAGATAATCCAATAGCTTATTTGAAACTTGAAACCACAACTCCGCGGTGAACTCAGGGCACTAACAATTCAGATTTTTTTTTTCAAAATGAATGTTTTTGCAAGAGCAAATATAAAAATAAAAATAAGTACACTTCTTTTATACAATATAGTTCACAATAATTACTTACCAACTTACAAGATAAACTGTTGCACAATTTCAAAATACAGTGAAATTTGTTTCTTGAAAAAGTATTATGCAATAAAATTACCTTTGCCATTAACATGTTTAATTTTCAAATCATACTCCGATTTTGATTTTTGGAAACAATCGTTTTCAAAATGTTTAGGGTTAGTCTTCAATAAAATCAAGAATTGTCCGTAATGAATAATTTGGATAAAAATCAAATTTATGCGAAGTAAGAATCCAACCTATTCAAGTATTCTTTTTCTACTGTGGAATAATTCTTTTGATGGGGATAGCATTTATTGGATAGGACAGGATACTCTGGCCTGTGAGCAACTTCTTGAAACACGACCTCACCAGCGCCAACACCACTGGCACTTAAAGCTACTTCCAACTGTTTCTTAGAATCTGACCAATGCCAACACCACTGGCACTTAAAGCTACTTGCAACTGTTTCTTAGAATCTGACCAATGCCAACACCACTGGCACTTAAAGCTACTTTCAACTGTTTCTCAGAATCTGACCAATGCCAACACCACTGGCACTTAAAGCTACTTGGAACTGTTTCTTAGAATCTGACCAATGACAACACCACTGGCACTTAAAGCTACTTGCAACTGTTTCTTAGAATCTGCTGCATTGGAAACAGAAGGATTGCTGCTTGACAAGTACCTTAGGCCTTCCAACCTCCAGGGCATGTTATCCTCTCTGAGTTGCCCTTGCCACCAGAGAAATATCCTCTTCAACACCAGGCACAGAAACAAGCAAATCCCCTCTTCATGTATAGGAATCAGAATGATCAATAAAATGATCGTTGGCTCTTAATATGTAGAAAAATAAGAATTGTCTCCTGTAAAGAAACATTTGGGAAAATGGCGTGCTTTGATTTCTGCTCAGCTGTTAATAAATGTCATTTAAATTCTAGAACTGGTTTTATCTGAGATCAAGAGCTGGACTTAGGTATTTAGTTGTACAAAAATGTCATCTGAATTCTAGAACTGATGTCATCGGAGATCAAAAGCTGAATGTGGGTATTCAGTTGTACATAAATGTCATTCGACACCTTGACCTGATGTCATGTGAATCTAAAGATATTTAGTGCTCAAATGTATACAAATGTCATCTGAGCGCTAGAGCCAATTCTAGTGATGTCGAGTGATCAAATATACATAAATGTCACCTGGGAGGTAGAGCGGAATTTAGGGAAATCACGATGGAGGCAACCAGAATTAATAACTAGTGCAAAGACATCAGGAAGAGTGTTGCCAAATATTTTTTTAGATGTAGTTTAAAACCCTTGATACATAACTTTCTCATTCATATATGTCATACAGAGCTTTGTCATCTATATACGTCATAAATAACTTTGTCATCCATATACGTCATGCATAACTTTCTAATCCATATACGACAGACAAAACTTTGTCTAAAGGTACGCCGAGTTCCATATTTATAATGTTAACATCCTCATTGTGTTGATTTCTTTAGGCCAGAGAAGTTTGTGAGTTATTTAAGGGTCGATTCAAGGAAGAAGAGATGATGATGGTCATTAAAGAAATCGGAGGAAAACTTCCAGCAGTGGACTTCATATTAAAAGGTAATTATAAATAGGAAATTTCAATCAAATGAAAGAAATCAATTTCATAATTTGTTCTTTTGTCAATCATTTATTTAGCTGAGAGAATATTGTTATAAGTTATTATTTGTACGTTAAGGGCTCTTTTCCCATTATATTTATATTTTTATTGATTTATAAATTTATTTATAAACTATTCCCCCTTGTGTGGCTTTAGAATTTGAAATGTTTGCTTTAAAGTATACCCATTTTAGTACGCGCTTAACAGAGGAATTAATGTTCACACTAAAAAAAAAAATTAACTGTATACGAAGCTAGGCACTCATATTGTAAGTATGTGGTCATATTTACTGTTTGGGATTAGTTTGCATACAACCGTATGTTATGTTGGATACAGTTGGCACCAACAATTTCAAAGTAAACAGTACTGAAACTTGAACACCTTGAATGCGTCGCATGTATGTGAACGGTGTATACTTTTGTGAACGATGTATACTTTTGTGAACGGTGTATACTTTTGTGAACGGTGTATACTTTTGTGAACGGTGTATACTTTTGTGAACGGTGTATACTTTTGTGAACGGTGTATACTTTTGTGAACGGTGTATACTTTTGTGAACGGTGTATACTTTTGTGAACGGTGTATACTTTTGTGAACGGTGTATACTTTTGTGAACGGTGTATACTTTTGTGAACGGTGTATACTTTTGTGAACGGTATATACTTTTGTGAACGGTGTATACTTTTTGTGAACGGTATATGCTTTTGTGAACAGTGTATACTTTTGTGAACGGTATATGCTTTTGTGAACAGTGTATACTTTTGTGAACGGTATATGCTTTTGGCGTATACTATATTCATTTAAGGATATTATGAACAATTTTTTTTTTTAAATTTGAGATGTTTTTAAAAAATCAGTTGTCTGTCTACCTTATTTCCCGTTGGTTAATGATCTGAAGAAATTCATTATTAATTATTTGAAATGGTTAGATCAATGACAAACATGACAATATCAACCAGAAGAATGACTGATCTTCAGTCTGGGACCCATTTACCCAGAAGAGCGTTAACAGGTTGGAGGCGGCCCAGCTTTATCCTAAACCGCTAAAGGAATACCTCTAGTGTTGGCAGCATGCTGGAAACACTAGGCTGGTCACCATTGGAGGAACAAAGACGACAATGAAGGCTCTCCATTATTTACAAGATAAATAATGGGCTGGTCCACTGTTCCAGTATTAAACAGAAACTCGTCGCTCTCCCCCATAGACAGCGACGAGGCCATGACAGGCAATTCAGGCTCATACCAGCAAGAAGCCAGTATAGGAGCTGCTCATTCCTGCCCAAGACAATCAGGGACTGGAACAATCTTTCAAAGGGAACGGTTGAGGCGACAACACTAGACACATTTGTGTCTATTGCCTCAAGCCTTCAAACCCCTAGTGCATGATTACCTCACAAAGTGGCACTGGAAATCAGTGAAATTTCTTCATCAACACCAGGAACAAAAACATTGCAAATCCCATCTACATGTATAGGAGCCAAAATGATCAATAAATTGATCGGGGGCCCTTAAGATATAGAAGAAGAAGAATCGACTGATTAGTTTACAATTGTGCTTACTGCAGCGATGATTATGCGGTACTAGTTATGTAATGATCCTTACAAGTGTAAACTTTATTTTATAAACATTGTTTGTGTTTCTTTGTGTAAACCGTTTAGGGAGTAGAGAAATTTGACAGATCTGTAACGTGGATTTAAGTCTAAACACAGACGGATGTATGGATGCCAAACATGAATTAATAATAGAACCAACCATTATATTCCTCCATTAATTTTTTAAAATTTATTCATTTATTTTTTTGCATTAAAAAAAATGTGTTCCCCTTCTCTGTCCACTTATGAACCAAACATTATATTCATCCATTAATTTTATTTATTTATTTTTTTATTTTTTTATTTATTTTTTTTTTTTTGCATGAAAAAATGTGTTACCCTTCTCTGTCGACTTATGTTATCAAGGCAAGCTGTAGTTAGATTTATTTAAGCTGCTTTCAAAGTTTAAGTAGTGGATATGTTTTCCGAATCTCCATTAACACTAACAAATATTTTTGTTTCTTTCTAACAAATTCTCAAGAGGATCCAGAAGTCGTTAGTCAATTTCTGAAAAAGGTAAAAAAATTCAATTTAATTTTTTTTTAAATTTATAAATTTTGAAATTAGAGTTGCACCGATTAATCGCATAAAATCTGTAATCAGCACATCGGGCCTATTGGCCTCATCGGCCCTTTTTGCCCATTAATCGATCTTAGGATAAGTTAATCGTGTAATCGGCCTGCTCAAAATTGCAGATTTAAAAGACCAGAAAATTTTAGTACAAATCTTGATTTTGTTCATGGATCCTAATTTTATCAAGTTTTTTTTTACGAGTTTCGGTGTGTCCAAGGCTCAAAGCATTACATCAAAACTCTCCCCTCTCCATTCACTGCCAAATGGGTTTTTTCTGTGACGTAAATGTTTACACATAGTACGATGGACACCAGATAATGGGACACTAAATAATATGACACCTGATAATATGACAATAGATAATATAACACTATATAATATGACGCGTGATAATATGACACTTTATAAAATGATGCATGATAATATGAAACTAAATAAGATGACGCGGGATAATATGATAAAAGATAATATTTCGCGTGATAATATAACACTAGATAATTTGACATGTGATAATATGACACTAGATAATATGACGCGTGATAATATTACATCTGATAATTTGACACCAGGTAATAAGACACGTGATAATATGACACTAGACAATATGACACTTCATAATATGACATCAGATAATATGACACCAGATAATTAGACACTAGATAATAAGACACTACATAATATGACACTAGATAATATGACACTATATAATATGACATCAGATAAAATGACACCAGATAATTAGACACTAGATAATATGACACGTGATAATATGACACTAGATCATATGACACTAGTTAATATAACACCAGATAATATAACACTAGATAATATGAAACTAGATAATCTGACACAGGATAAAATGACACTAGATAATATGACATCAGATAATAAGACACCAGATAATAAGACATCGGATAATGTGATCCCATATAATATGGCACAAGATAATATGACACCAGATAATATGAAACAGTGATGAAGTGTCTGTAGATGAAGTGTCTGTAGATGAAGTGTCTGTAGATGAAGTGTCTGTAGATGAAGTGTATGTAGATGAAGTGTCTGTAGGTGAAGTGTCTGGGGATGAAGTGTCTATGGATGAAATATTCGTCATTCAAGTGACCTTCAGCGAAGTGTATTGGTGTACTGCGTCAGTGAATTGTCTTTGAATGAACTGACCTGCCACCTTATCAATTTAACCTCAAATAATTAAAATATGGTAAACCTTTAAAAAAGAGTAATTAAAATATTTCCAATCTGTTCACTGTGATATTCTTCTCAAGCCAGGCGCCCGCTCCAAACAGCTCCATTCCATACAAGTCTTTGTTACTTAATAAATGTCAAATATCATTTTTAGATGTATCTATGGATTCTAGAGCCAATTTCCCACGTTATTTGTATCGCAGTACAGCTTTCAATACCCAATTTAAACAAATCTAAAATATATATTTTGTTCAATCGAATTGATTATGAAATAAACAGAGAAGTTACCTCAATGCCAACTAGAGAAAAAACTTATGGAGTTTCAAATCTAATTGCATTAGACATATCCCCTGACAGAGCAAGAGCTATGTGACTGCCATGCAAGAAGACTCAAAGAAGCTGAGCAGTCATCTGGACGAGTGGATCACTATTGAGTCCGGCAAGCGTCAGTTTGCATGTGAAGGATGTGTAAGGTTTTGGTGGAAACGTGTTCCGATTCGAAAAGAGGTTTGTTTCATGTGTTATCAGTGTGAGATATCAACGTGTGTTATCAACGTGTCTTATCAACATGTCTTAATCAACGTATCTCATCAACGCGTCTTATCAACGTGTCCTATAAACATGCCATATCAAAATGTCTTAATCATCGCGTCCCATCAACGGGTCTTATTGAAGTTTCTTATCAACGTGTCTTAACAACGTGTCTTAAAACATGTCTTATCAACACGTCTTATCAACACGTCTTATCAACGCGTCTTATCAACATGTCTTATCAACATGTCATCTTTACGTAGGCCAATGTAAAACGATAACATGACAATGAATGATTTGGAAAAGACTGCGATCAGTTTTACAAGTGAAGAAATACGGAGTCAGCCAAAATTGAAATAATGAAGAAAAAATAAAGACCAAACCGAAAAGGATGTATCAGCCAAAAGCCTCTTTCAATGAATAGCAACTAAGAATAATTAAAATAAAATAATATTTAAAAAAGAAACTTAGCTTGAAGAATGGAATTTAAAATCTCTAATTTGAAGTCTCTATTAATTTTGAATTTTCTATTTTGAGTTCAATATTTAGAATTCTCTATAATTTAAAGAGTCTCATTTGAAGTCTCTCATCTGAAGTGTCTCATGTGAAGTTTAAGTTAGTGCTCAAGCAGGGCATGAGATATATGTAGCATGTTAAATGTTCCTCCATGATAAAAAAAAAACCAACAACAACACACAAACAAACAGATGAAATAATTCTTGCAGGTCAGCAGATGTCGGAAATGTCAAGTGAAATATGATGCCGTCCCTAGAGAGAACGAATGGGGACTTGGTGCATTTTACTGCTTGACGGAAAACTGTGGGAAGGAATTTCTGTAAGTTTAGCACTTTACAAATGTTGGGAAGACTTTTAGTTAGTAGTTTGTTGTATTTTAGTCATTTTTTTTTGTTGTTGCTGGAAACAATATTTCTTATTTAACAATAGAACATATAGTCTTGTATCGGTATTTGATTGGTATTTTATCTTTTATCAAATTCTTTTACTGGTTCTTGCGTCGTAATCGCACGTTCTTAAACATAAGTCCTTTCCCATTAGCAATGTAAAATTTAATCCAGAAAACATAATATCTGTCAGGATGAACATTTACTCAAACATATATAAGAAGGAGAAGTAATGCACAACCATCTACTACAAGGTGCTTTCATCGATGGCTGAACCAATGAATGCACGAACGCCAAAGACAGTCTAGACGCTACGTCATAATTACCATAAATATGCATCACCAATTTAAAGGCGGGAAAAGCGTTCATTTAAGACTAAGTGTCGAATCACTTCTGCACAATAAAACAAAAACCCGGTGCGAAACAATATTAGTGAATGCCTATATTCGACACAGAGATAAATACTTTTCAGACTTTGTTTCAATGTCGTTAACGGGACTAGTGCCACCCGGGACGAGACTAGAATTTTCTGCCCCTCCCCCCCCCACCTCACCCCATTTTTTCGCAAGGAAAGAATATTATCTTGGCCGAAGATGCTGCATCCTCAATTTCGTTAAAAAGAGAATTGAGCAAATAGTTTTTGTCTTGGCAGACCACCGACCGACCGCACCCCCCATTCCCTTTTTGTCCAACGCCACTGCTTAGATTGGAACAATATACCAAATAAATTTATCAAATCAAATTGAAACAGATTTCAAATTGAAAACAAGTTACTAGGAAAAGTAATCAGGTACGGAGAGGCTCCATTTAAATGTGTTAATGCAAATAAAATTCGTAACTGGCAGTTTCAATTGCCCCCTCCCCCCTCCCCACGATATCTATATTTTTAGAATCTATCCTAGTTGTTCTGTACTACGAGATAATTATTTAGATAGTTTCTAAAAAACCTACTTATTCACTAACAGAAAGTTTCATACAGTTACAAGAATGTACCAAATAGTTGTTCGTTACTTATACCTAGACATAGAAAATGGATTTCAACAAAATTAATGTTGGAGTTGTTTCCAGAGAGTATGCTGTGATGAATATGTCAGAAAGCATGTGTTTCGATTGTAAATACGTATCGCCAGTCGATCACATTTTGCCTCCATCCAAAAAAGATAAGGAAGACTGGCGTAAAGGGCCTAAGGTAAGCAAAAACGTGTGGCAATCGTGACGGAAGAGTTCCAAAATTTAAGGGTCGTCACGTTTTAGAGGATTAATATGAAATAAAAACATTTTTAGGATTAATTTGCAAACTTATAAAGAAATTATTTTCCATTTTATAACGAATAGTTAATATATTTAAAAAAATATATATCAAAACGTAGCCCCCCCCCCACACACACACAATGACAAAATCTTAAATATACGCGTGTGCAGTTAAAGATATGAAAATAATGTATTTAATCTTGAATTAGGAAACTATTTTGCAGACGGATCGCACGTCTTATGGCGCCGCCACCCATGGACATGCTCACAGGCGTCACTCGGGCCAGCACAACTGTAACGGTGTCAACTGCTACCAAAAGTAAGATATAACTATGTAGAAGAATGGTGCGTACGTTACAAGCAAACGGTTAAATCCAAACATTCTATAGACTTGTAAGTAAGGCATGAAGATTTCAGTAAAAGTACGAAGTTCATTAAACATTCTATAATATGTTGTCTAGGCATTCTATAGAACATCTTGGAATTCTATAGAATATCTAGGCATTGCATCGAACCTCTAGGCATTGTATAGAATATCTGCGCATTTAATGGTTTAAAAATGTCGAGATGAGTTCAAGCTGCAAAAACTTTTGATTGGTCGAGGCCTGCCTCGGAAGTGCATCCGCCGTCGTGGTAGACGAAAACAACAACTTGTCACCCATTCTCCCCCAAGACCCACTCTACACTACTCTAACCCTGCCAACCTCATTCACATCAAAACCTCTCCACCCTCCAGCAACAGACAGCTTCTCATCGCCTCATTCAATGCCCAGTCGCTTGGCTCATACGAGAAACGCATCGCAGTCTCCGAATTTATTACTGATAGGCAGATTGACATTCTATTTATCCAGGAGACCTGGTTTTGACTGACTGGCGATGAGGGGAAGTGCACCGATCTCGCTCCATCTGGCTAATCTGCCCGATCATTTCCCCGGTCAAATCGCGGTGGAGGCCTTGCTGTTATATATAGAGGCAAATTGTCCCATCATACAGCTTTTGTCACAGACCTCCCATTCGTTCACACATCTTTTGAAGCAGTTCAATTTACCCTGTCAGTGCCCCGGCAGAACGTTCATTTAATGTGCATATGTCGCATCTTCCTTAGTAAGAAAAATAAATTGATCGACGCAGTGTTTCATAGAAAATTCCCGGATTTGATTGATCACTGCAACACATTGGCCGGGACTTACACTGTACTAGGTGACATGAACTTTCATTTCGATCAACCACAGCCCCCCTCCTTGGATGTTGGATCTTTTGGACTTATTCAGTCTTCAGCAAACAGTCGACCAATCGATTCATAATCGTGGACATGTTCTTGATTGGGTGATACATAGGCCTCAAGATGGTGTAGTAGATCTACTTCAGTCACTCAGGAGCTGTCCTCTGACCACTTCTGTGTTTTTTTTTGCAAGCTTAGTGTTAGTGCCCCCAACCCTCTCCCTTAGTTTAAGGAGGTGCGCAGTCTGTGAACTATAAACAGGGATGCTTTTAAGCATGACCAGAGTTTAGAAATGTCCCCCGCCCTTTGCTCTACATTGGAAACACTAGACCGTGCATTGCTCGCTGTGCTTGACCTGGTATGCGACCATAAGGGAAGAACTACGCAGTGCCAAGAAAGAGCGGCGTAGTGCGGAAAAGAAGTGTTTAAGGTCAGGTCTTGTGGTTTTTAAGAGGATCTTTACCTCTGCCAAGAAGCGTGTCACTCAGATTGTTTGTCGTGCTAAGACTTCGTATTATAGCCAAAAGATAACTATGTGTAAAACCAGCAGATAGTTGTTTGGAACTTTGGAATTTCTTGTTCAGTTTTGGCTTGGTTTAGGTCCTACCTCTCTGATAGAACGCAGGCGGTCTCTGTCGATGGCTGTCTCTCCGGAAGTGCAGATTTGGTGTACGGAGTGCCACAGGGGTCCGTTTTGGGCCCGGTTCTATTCAGATTGTATACCAGACCACTGCTCCTCTTGCTTGGGGGCATGCTGTTGAGAGCCAGTAATTTGCAGATGACACGCAGCTATACAAACATACCCATCCTTCTCTTGTTGATTCCGTGGTCCAGACTTTACGGGGGTGCATTGATGATGTCAAGTCATGGATGACACTCAGCAAGTTGAAGCTTAATGATGACAAAACGGAATCCCTCTTCATTCACAATCACACATCATCCTCTACCTCAACTCTTCCCACCTCATTTCACGTAGATAACTCCGACATACAGCGCTACAAAAACTCTAGTTTGTGATCTTGTTCTCGCTCGTCTTGTCAATTGCAACTCTCTTCTGTCAGGTTCACCAAAAAAAAAACATAGAAAAACTGCAGAAAGTTAAAAACTCAGCTAATTAATGTTTTTTTCCCATTTCATGGATCAGATCCTAGATTCAACAACTTTTACATTAGTTATTTTATGGTTTTATTATTACATAATATTATGATTAAACTTTCATGCTTAAATATATAAGTAGAAATGTAGATCATGTTTAATGATTTTTTGTGTTTTTTTTTGTTACATACAAGCCTTGGAAACCCCAGGCAGGTAAGGAGCTCTTGTGTAAAAGCCTTGAAGATTATTTAGTTAAGACCGATAATTATAATTGACTAGGGACTTGCAATTAATGTCGTGAGTTTAAATTAATTCTATTGCTACACAATATAACACATTTTCTGCATCATTCGATGACCTGATAAGAAAATGGGACTAGAGATCAATTTGATATTTAAGACTTTGAATGGTTATCAAATCTTCTTTTGGCACCGCCTTCTTTGTACCATAAATTCATACCTGGCTCTCCCGGTGATACCCAGGTAATCAGCTTAGTAATTTACACGACACCTCCGGGAAGAAAACACGAGAGCAATGGCACGCTTGAAAACAGCAACACGTTTGTTACTTGTATTGGGAGAAATTAATCTCCTATTTTAATTTTAATTTGGCTCGTTGTAAACAGTGCCGAACAAAGGACGATACCATAGAATCAACAATATTAAAGATACGAACCAAAACAGTTTCTAGTTACAATAAATAAGATTTATTAAGTCTTAAAATAATTACAAAAGAAAAGAAAATATAATTACAATCTTCAACTTACAGTATGGTAGATCTTGTACCGGTACACATTTAACACAGTTAGAATACTGTGCCAATAAATAATGCGAAATAAACACATATAAGCACACACATACACAAAGAATAAAACACGCCTCGTAAAGTTAATAAAATCTATCTAAATCTCCATCTCCCGTCCGTTCCTGTTAATCCCTTATATAGGTCGCGTAAGCCCTGCCTTCCAGGAAACTTATGACGTTTCTAGAACAATCACATTCATTCTACAAAATACTACTTGGAACAGATTAATTATTTTTAGTAGCTGGCGGCATAAACACGAATAGATCAAAGGACTAAGCCACACCCCTTTGTGAAGACAGCGTCTCATGCGGGGTCAATCAGAGGGCACGCACGAGAAATATTATGCAAACAAGCTCTATATAACACCGTTATATAACTTTTATTTAAATTAAAAAATGGATCTCTTTACTATAAGTATTTCATTAGGGCACAGATTGACAAGGTCTATCAATGCCATTGATTTAAAAGTAATAATTAATAGCAAAATAGTTTGGAATTGACACTAATGAGCTAGTTGCGGTTGCATTAGTTCAACAATTCCTTGCGTTCAGGTAACGTATCAGAACTCTTAAATCAGCGCATCAGAAATTTTTTACTGATTTTTTTTTTTTCACAAAAGCCAATTGGAGCCATCAAACTAATGCCGTCTTTCCCTAAATACATTATTTTCGAAATGCTACAAGGAGTTTGTACTAACTCTCTACAGTGCCAGGAACTGAGGTGAAATGTCCGCTTCTTTCCAAAAACTGTGCCATGAGTTTTTAAACTTTTGATTCGCATAAAATGATTTTTAAGTTGACATGAATATTCCTAAAATTACTAAACTTTGTTTGTATCTGGATGTATCCCCCCCTCCCTAGCTGCCATTGTAGACGAAAACAGAAGACCCTCACGCCCTTACCGACCCCCCCTCCCAAAGAAAAGGGACAGCCATCAAATTAGACGGAGTAATCAAATATTCAAAATACGGGTAGATTATAATCTTGGTTGCTCAAATTCTCTTCACCTCCCAAAGAAAAGGGACAGCCATCAAATTAGACGGAGTAATCAAATATTCAAAATACGGTTAGATTATAATCTTGGTTGCTCAAATTCTCTTCTAGCTCAGTTGTATCTGGATGTATCCCCCCCCCCTAGCTGCCATTGTAGACGAAAACAAAAGACCCCCCACGCCCTTACCGACCCCCCCTCCCCAAAGAAAAGGGACAGCCATCAAATTAGACGGAGTAATCAAATATTCAAAATACGGGTAGATTATAATCTTGGTTGCTCAAATTCTCTTCTAGCTCAGGCAGGCCTGACCAACGTTGAGCTGGAACATAGAAAACTTTGATACAAAAGTAAAGCTGGTGGATTTAATCAGATTGACCAGATTTTATTGCAAACAATAATCCTTTTAAGATGTGCGCGTGAATGCGCGAACACCAGGGGAAAAAGGTGCGCACAGTTGAGAGATGTTTGAGCACACATGGGGAAGACGGCGGATCGAACACAATTTAAAAATTATTTAAAATGCTATGCTTAGCCAAAGGAAAAAAAAACAATAATATAACGTTATTTATTTTTTTATTTGATGCGCATTTAATAGGTTAAACTTTTCTTTGCGACTTGTTAAAAATACCTTCATTTGTTAATCACCTGTTCTGTTTAAAATGTAGATGTTCAAAATATGACCTGACCTTTTGAAATATTTAACAGAATTTCGATTGTAAATCTATTCTAGATATAAATCTCTACCG